CTCAGTGGGTTAGAAGCCAGACTCACTCATGAAGTCACTCGGCGAGTCAATGCCATGACTCGGCGAGTTTGTGGCAATCTTCTTGTCTCAAGAAGAACTCGGCGAGTTGTTCATACAACTCGGCGAGTCACAGCTTAGAGTGTTCTTCGGATGAAGGTGAACTCGGCGAGTTGTTCATACAACTCGGCGAGTAGGATGAAGGATTATTGGCCTTGGGTATAGAGAAATGGACTCGGCGAGTTGGCAAGCCAACTCGGCGAGTCTGGTCAACTGGCAGTTGACTGTGACTTGACTCGTGACTTGTTAAGGGTAAATGGACAATTTACCCTGTAGGCGGTTAGCAGTATTTGACTAAGTGTTTGGTGGGAATTGTAGCCGGAGGATTTCCGGAGCAGCAGTAGCAGACAGACCATTCCCACACAGATCAGCAGCTACGAGGTGAGTTACCTTCCAGTAGCGGTGGGTCTAAGGCCACAATGTCGACCCACCAGTAGGTTTGTATGATAGATGTTTTTCTCTGTGATATTCATCTAGGATTGTTACTACCTGTGATATGCTAATGTGCTAGTAAGATATGATGATATGTGCTAATGACAGTAGGGGGAGGTTGTTGGGTTTTAAGCATTCTAACACTCCTAAGTGTACGTGCAACCCTAAATACCTTGGATCTATGTTTTCACTATTATACATGCAAATATGAACATCCAAGGTATTATCCTAATCTAGCATACAAAACAATGACTATAGCAAGATAGATTACATACCTCATTGATGTAGAAAGTCTACATGAAGCTTGAGTGCCTAGTGCCCCAAGTGTGACACCTCAAATGGTTCACACAACACCAAATACACTTGGAATAAGTTGAGAGAATTCTACACTCATGAAAATCGGCTAGCCCTTTCTTACTCTCTCTAGTGGCCGATTTTGGTCAAGAATAAGATGCTTATATAGTTAGGGTTATACCATGTAAACCCTAATTGACATGGCCTTTCATTTCCATGATCCATGGGTACAAAAACACCATGGAGCATCCATGGACCATCCTATGGGTTTTAGACCAACTTGATTATCCATAGAGCATTAGCCCACTATACAAGTATGGATGATTACACAATCAAACCATATATTTAATTAGTCTTCTTTTGATCACTTAATTAATCCTAGATTAATTCTTGATCAATACTAATTAAATAATCTTATTATTCTTATTATTAATATACTAAAACTTATAATATATTAATAACCATAAGTGTCTTATTTCTCTCATTATAGTCTATCCAAATGCATGATGCCATGCAACCCAAATGGACCATGCCGGTTCGGGTCAAGTCTTACTAATTATAGTTATGGACTTAAACATTAATCCAACAGAGGTAGTCACCGGTCGATAGGGCTGAAGGGGCGGTCATACCCAGCCATGCTAGATAGATTATGTGATATATGTGTTACGTGGTAGTAGTAGGGGGAGGGGTGAAATAGCCCCAGTATCCAGTCGAGAGGACCGAAGGGGAGGCCATCTCCCAGATATGCTAGTCAGTATCCAGTCGAGAGGACCGAAGGGGAGACCAGCACCCAGATTTGCTAGTCAGTATCCGGTCGAGAGGACTGAAGGGGAGGTCAGCTCCCAGATAGACTAGTCTGTATCCGGTTGAGAGGACTAAAGGGGTAGGTCGGGCACCCAGATATGCCTGACAATATATGTATGTTATGTGATTGTATGGTATGTGGTATGTTGGGGGAACTCACTAAGCTTTGTGCTTATATTTTTCAGTTTTGGTTTCAGGTACCTCTTCTTCGAAGGGGAAAGAGCTAGCGCGGTAGCGGCCCATCACACACATGCTCCGTATTCCGTACCATGAGATCTTCCTGGGAATTCGTACTCTGACATTATTATGTTTTATGAAAATGTTTTTTCCAGACATGCGACATCTTTATAAAATGTTATGATCGGTAAACGTTTTATTCAAATGTTTTTCTAAGTATATGTTTTCAAAATGAAATTTTTGGCTCGTATTTTTTTGTTGTTACATATACAATTGTTGACACATGTATGTATCTTAGTATACCCTGAACCCATTTCCTTGAATGCTTTTATTGCATCGTATGTACTACTGTACATTTCGTTTCCTTCTGGTAACATTTTTTTTTTATCAAAACTAATAATTTTGTAAAGCACTTATCTGATACTCCATACTTACTCTTCAAGTTGAGTAGTTGAATGATTGCAGATAATTTTCTAAAATTATGACACCTTGTGTATAGGGGCTTCTTGGCATCTTCTATCAGTTCTCTAAACTTATCAGGGTTCCTAATAAAATTTTCTTCTACAACTTCAACCATCTCTACTGTTTCTGTAGCATCTATTGGCATTTCTGTATTCATGTTTGTGGAATCTACAAAGTTTGATGTATCCATGTCAAAATTATGTTCATATATATATGTATATATATATATATATATATATATATATATATATAACTTCTTGGTGGTTCTTCTGTTTCTCCATGCGTATTCCAATTTGTGTATGTTTGATCAATTCTATTCCTGAATAGATGATCATATACCACATCCAACGAATGAGATATGTGGTTTACACACTTAACACATGGACATGGAATTCTTATCTTTTTTTTGGTATCTACATGATCCATATGTTTAGAAATCTTGTAATTGTGTACTGCATATTTGATAAACTTTTCAACACCTTTTACATAGGTTTCTGATGTTCTGTAGGCTCCCATCAAAGACTTATGCATATTCAGCTTACAACAGCATCAACAAGCAATATATGTTTCATGTTGATTGACCCTTTTTAACAAACAGTTGGTGTGCATAAACGAAATAGATCACATTAAAAATAAATCCTATATCTTGAAACAAAAAAACTTGTTAACTCAAAAAAAATATATAATGATACACATCATGACCAAACGAAATAACTAAGATTCATATTATGAGGTAATTGTTTTTTGATTCCCTGTATTAATTAAATGTAGTATTTATACCTGTATGAATTTGATGTTGACGTATCAATTTCTGGTTGAAGAATAAACATAGTTGCAATACCTTTCTATATATCAGAGAATGTATCGATAGGAATTCATATTGTCTAAAAGAGGATATTTACGCATTGAGTCTGGATTATCAGGGACATGTCGAGAAGTGATAAAAAAAGTGGATGATCAGGGACATATCGAGAACTAAAAACAAAAGAAAAAAAAATGTTGCTAGTTGGGTTCGAACCCATGACATTCCAAAATATACCATTAACTACATTCACACTTACCATCTAGGGTATCTGGTTGATTGTAATTTATTGGTGTACGAAGAAAACAAAAAAATTAACCAAAAGAGAAAAGAATCCACTAAAACTGATCTAAGACAAACACAGTTAGCATCAAGCATTTTTTCCTCATTTGATACAATAAATGTAATTGTTGTTGCAAATTGTTTTTAATTAGCCTTCACAATTGAAAATAAAAACAAAAAACAAATCATTCTTTCCTAATTTGACACAATAAATGAATGACCATTATACCCTTATATCTCACACGCAGATTAAGTAGGAAATTATATAATTTTCTTTGTTTAATCATAATAACAATTAATGGATGGATATACCATTGTTATAACATAACTACATAGTAGAACTAAGTTGCAAGGTACATTGCTATTTTAGGAAATAATTCAGTAAAACAGGGACAAACCTGACTCAGTTATAAGTAGTCAAAACAATCTAAATTAACATATAAAATGAATATGATAACTATTTCCCATTTTGCCCCTAAGACAATTCTATTTAAAATAACATCAAATATGGACATATAACATATAATTAACTGTTATACCCCTGTGTTATCATAAATACAAAGTGGAACTAAGTTGCAAAGTACATTGCTATCTTAAAAAACAATTAAGAAAAACAGGGACAAAGATGACTGAGTTATAAGTATGCAAAACACGGACATAATTAACATATAAAATTAATATGATAAGTAATTCACATTTTGCCCCTTAGACAATTCTATTTAAAACAACATCAAATCTGGACACATAACATATAATTGACTGTTTCACCCCTGTTTTATCATAAATACAGAGTGCAACTAAGTTGCAAAGTAAATTGCTATCTTAAAAAACAATTAACTAAAACTAGGACAAATCTGACTCAGTTACAAGTATGCAAAACATGGACATAATTAACATATAAATTTAATAGGGAAAATGACACAAATTCCCTACGAACTTTCTAGGGTTTACCCGTTGAGTCCCTAAAGTTTTTATGAGTCCCTAAACTAGGATATGACCTGCTATTTTAGTCCCTGTCAACCTGTAATAGCCGGTTCAGTGACCTTTTAGACCAAAAAAACTCACATTGTGCCCTTATAAAACAAAAAAAAAAGTTTGGGGATCAATTCGTACAAAAAAAAAACTCTCCTTTTCTTCTAAAGTCGATTTACACTTAATTCATATTGATCCCCAAACTTTTTTTTTTTTGGCTTTATAGAGGCACAATGTGAGTTTTTTTGGTCTAAAAGGTCACTGAACCGACTATTATAGGTTGACAGGAACCAAAAGAGCAGGTCATATCCTAGTTCAGGGACCCATAAAGCCCGACAAAAACTTTAGGGACTCAACGGGTAAACCCTAGAAACTTTGTAGGGCATTTATGTCATTTTCCCAATTTAATATGATAACTAATTCCAATTTTTCCCCTAAGACATTTCTATTAAAAAAACCATCAAATATGAGCATATAACATATAATTGACTATTATACCCCTGTGTTAGCAAACTACATTGCCTTTTTAACAACACAATATATCAAAACAGGGATATAATATATAACATCAAATATAGACATACTATATAATCAAAACATCACATATAGACATAATATATAACAATTCATAAAATAAAAGAGTTTCATATTAATTACAAAAAATAGAGTATCATATGTACTCTATATTAATCACAAAAAAGATTACAACATAGTTCACCTAGGATATGTCTTTCCATGCTATGACATTTTCTTTCGCCATGTCCATAGCATCCTCCATTTTTTCTCTTGGAATTCTCATGTTTAGCATATGATTGATGTATGCTATTCCATCATCAACCGATGCCATTGGATGGTCTGTTACAAACATGTGAATAAGCTTCTCAACACGTTTGGCTGGTGAGTTCATCAAAAAATGTGGGAAATTGTTTGGAACAAACACAGGCATGTGTTCAACATAGAGATGTTCAATCTCTCTGAATTTTTGTGCCCTAACTAATGTCATGAAGGGTCCCAAACATTCATCATTCATAATTGGAATCATTGACAACCCACTGTGTTCTTCGGTGGGCATGTGATACCAGTTCCCCAAACTTATATACCCAAGGCTTCTAGAAAAACAGCCAAGCATCTCAATGTTTATGAAATCGATGTTCACATGAGAAATAAAGTGAGCCTTTGTCTGTTGATACGCCTTACCTGGTAGTCTGTAAAGAACCCACCATGAACAACACGAATGGTGAATCTTTTCTCATTTTCCTTCCCATATTCAACCACCGGTGTGTTTCTTGGTGGTTCGACGCTTACACTCCATAGTTGGAACTTGAGACGTGCCCACAGATCAACATTCATCTTCTGTAATTGATCGTCGTAGTTTTTTCAAAGAGGAAGAGGGAGAAATCGAAGTTATCGTAACGTAATGAATATGTGAGAATGATGAAATTGACATAAGCGAATGGTTTAAAAGGATCATCAATCGTAGGTGAAGGGACGTCGACTGAGGCCATCACTTCTCCGATTAATTGCAGTCTACAGATGAGGTGGATTCTGAATGACGGCTAGTCGGCTACGATAATGATTACACATTTTTGTATTATACATTAATATATCTAGTATTTACATTAATATCTATAATATTAATGTAAAAAATATCTATAATATTAATTAAATGTAATATCCATACTAGCATTGTTTTTTTAATATCAAACAAAAAAATAAATTTATATATAAATTTATAATAAATATATAAAATGAATTTTTTAATTCAAATAGGTTGGGGTTGACCATCATTAGCTCATCTACGGGTGTTGGTTGTGGGGTTAAACCTCATTAGCTCATGTATGGGTGTTGGTTGTGGGTTTGGACCTCCTTAGGTCATGTATGGGTGTTGGTTGTGGTTTTGGACCTCATTAGGAGATGTACGAGTGTTGGTTGTGGGTTTGGACCTCATTAGGTCATCTACGGGTGTTGGTTGTGGGTTTGGACCTCATTAGGTTATCTACGGGTGTTGGTTGTGGGTTTGGACCTCATTAGGTCATGTATGGGTGTTGGTTGTGGGCTTGGACCTCATTAAGTCATCTATGGGTGTTGGTTGTGGGTTTGGACCTCATTAGGTCACTACGGGTGTTGGTAGTGGGTTTGAACCTCATTAGGTCATGTATGTGTGTTGGTTGTGGTTTTGGACCTCAATAGGTCATATATGGGTGTTGGTTGTGGGTTTGGACCTCATTAGGTCATGTATGGGTGTTGGTTGTGGGTTTGGACTTCATTAGGTCATGTATCGGTGTTGGTTGTGGGTTTGGACATCATTAGGTCATCTATGGGTGTTGGTTGTGGGTTTGGACCTCATTAGGTCATGTATGGGTGTTGGTTGTGGGTTTGGACCTCATTAGGTCATGTATGGGTGTTGGTTGTGGGTTTGGACCTCATTAGGTCATGTATGGGTGTTGGTTGTGGGTTTGGACCTCATTAGGTCATGTATGGGTGTTGGTTGTGGGTTTGGACCTCATTAGATCCTCTACGGGTGTTGGTTGTGGGTTTGGACCTCATTAGGTCATGTATGGGTGTTGGTTGTGGGTTTGGACCTTATTAGGTCATGTACGGGTGTTGGTTGTGGGTTTGGACCTCATTAGGTCATGTACGGGTGTTGGTTGTGGGTTTGGAACTCATTAGGTCATTTTTTTTTTGGAAAGGGATCTTCCCTAACGAGGGTTTCCGGGCCAGCTTTCGCGCACCGACTAATCCCCCGCTGCAAACATAAAGCTTTGCTTCATGCCCTGGAGTCACTGCAGGCGAACCTCCATGGCCACAAGGGCTGAGTGGTGCCAGGATTTGAACATGGGTCATTAGGTCATGTATGGGTGTTGGTTGTGGGTTTGGACCTCATTAGGTCCTCTACAGGTGTTGGTTGTGGGTTTGGACCTCATTAGGTCATGTATGGGTGTTGGTTGTGGGTTTGGACCTTATTAGGTCATGTATGGGTGTTGGTGGTGGGTTTGGACCTCATTAGGTCATGTACATGTGTTAGGTGTGTAAGAGCATAAGATAGTCATTGGTTTATGGAGTTATGGCATATAAATTATTATAAAAAAATTATTAAGCCTACTAGACCTTAGTATTATTTTTGTTATATAATAATATTTTTCCGTTGTATATTTGTTTTTTTTTAACTTTAAATATTTTTTTATTTCAAATAGTCATAAATGTTTTTCCAAAGAATAAATTGTTAAGTTAGAAGGACCAAATATGTAATATTTATATTATTACCAAACAAATCGTAATAACGTTTTAGAAGACAGAATATGTTTCCAAACCATGATTTTTGCTTCAAATCGTGTGGGATTAGTATCAGCTCAAAATTTGGAACACATTTGAATTTGTCAAACGAATTTAAACAAAACTAATGGGAGGCAAACATTTTTTCGTATGGTTTTTGGGCTCCAAATCAAAGCGGGAAATCTTTATTTATCGTACTGCCAAAACTATGAAGATCAATCCATCGGATCAAGGAAATTCCGGTGATATTTTGGTAACATCCATCAATTTAGGACCTGTTAAATCATTTTAATATTTAATAGACCGTCATTTATTCCACCATTGTTTTGGTTAGCGTTAGGTTATATCCCAAAAGGATCATAATTCAGTTCATCATTCATCAAGCTTTCTATTGTAAGTATATTGTTTGTGTACATATTATTTCAATGTTATTGATTGTATTGATTACGGATCATGCATAACACAAACAATTTCGATTCTTCATATTGGTGTGCTTGTTGCACACCAACTGTGCGATGAAATGTTTATGTAAGCAATTGTCTGTAATATTATTATTCATACATTATCATTAAACTTATAAACAATCAAAGTTATTTCAATTTGTTTTGTCAACTGAAGAATCATGGAGGTTGACAAGGAACAACATGAGGATATCCCTGACTATTATAGAAGATGAGCTAGATGATGGAAACCAAGAATATGATTCGGAGACAAAGGACGGTGAAAATAAAGACATCCACTACAATAGCCAATCAGATTCGGAAGAAGAAATCCAAAAAACAGTTCCTATAAGGTCAAATAGGAAGAGGGGCATGACTCGATTGCCAAAACTGAAGACTGAATATGTCAATTCTGGTGGTAAAAAAAAACGTGTCAGGTTTGATGAATTCGGTAAGTTTACAGGGAATAATAATGCTGTCTTTGTTAGCTATTTGTGTGATCTTGTCCGCAAGAAGGTAGGATTAAGTGCTCTTTGCTGGAAAAAAGTTAAACCGGAAATGAAGGACAAACTATGGGAAGAGATTACAGTAAATATTTTCTTCAATTTTTAAATTTGAATAACATATTATATGTAAAAATCAAGTATTAAATAATAACATTTTCATTTTTTTGTTTTAGCGCATGAAATGGAAAACAATTTGTGATAAATACACTTGGCATTCTTCTATGTAACTTCAGAAGAAAGTTGTATGCAGATTACATCAAGCCACATCTAGGCAGTCCCAAAAAGCTTGAAAAAATCCCTAGTCGTTATCGTGCACTAATCACTGAACAAGATGATTGGAACAAAATTTTGACTTATACGCAATCTCAAGAGTTTAATGTTAAAATCTTTTTTCAAAACTTATTCATTTATTTATCATAAACTGGGTTATAAAAGTGTGTGACAAATATTTTTGTAACGCCTGTAGATTAGGACTAATCAATTTAAGGACAATAAGCGTCAAAAATGAAATTTTGATGTAAGATTATTTTGAAGGAATAATCATAACTAAGTTGTAGTATATGTTACAAGGATTCCGTACATATAAAGAACGCTGAAATCCGAGTTATAACGAAGAACTTATGACCTGTCGAAGTTTCGCGACTGAACCGGCACGACGCTAAATGACGTAAAAAGTGAATTTACGTTAGAGCGATATTTAGCCTTAGCGATCTAAAAGAAAGTCATAGAGTTTGTTAAACCGTGAGCGTGCATTAAAAGAACGTCCAAATCTGACTTCGTATGAGGAAGTTATAATTTTTCTAAGTTTCGACTTAGTGGTGTGCAGCTCGAATACTCGATTTGAGATCGAACGGTTTTTAACCGAAACAATCTAAACGACAATCGAAGATCTTATTGATAGTAGTGCAATGGTAAAAAGACAGACGAAAACGGATGTCGGACAAAGAAGTTATGAATTTATAACGGAGTTTTCTTGTCCCGGCCTACTAAAAATAAATAATAAAAATTAATTCAAAATTAGCCGACGGAGTCTAAACGAAAGTTGTAGAACGTAGTCTCACCTACGCATGGATATAAAGAACGTCAAAAACAGATTTCGTATGAGGAATATATGAATTTTTGAAGTTTATTAAATAATTAAAATATTAAATTTAATTATAAATTTCGATATTATCCGGAGGGGGGGGGGGGGGGGAAGTCAGCGGCCTTATCCAAACTACGCCCAGCATAACCTTAATTATGCCCAGTGTAATTCGGTGGTTCAGCCACTATAAATAGATGTCGAGTGCAGCCGAGTTCTATTAATCATTTCTTCCTTTCTCTTATTTTTGCATCGTTTTGCGTGCAAGAAATCCCCTGAAGCCCCGGAATCATTCCCGAGACCCGAAGCAAGTCCCGAAGCCCCGAAGATCCCAAGAAGTGAAATTGCCAAGCCGAACCTCTGCCCGCGATAAGCCCGTTTTTTCTGAAGATCTTCCAGATCTACCGAAGAATACTAATTTTACGAGCCGTAGTGTTATGCGATCATCTTCTGATCAAGTGAGTGTATAGTCCCTTTCATAAACATGATATTAATACAAGTATTGTTTGAATGTATTAAGTATATGTTTTGGGTGAGTGTGTAGTCACTCTCTTCTAACACATAAATATGAAGTATTTGCTATGAAATACGTGCTATGTGTTTATATATTGTTGTTTATTTGAGATGAGTGTGGAATGGATGTTTTATATAGTTTTAAATGAGTGAAACTGTATATGTATTTTATATCTACAAATATGTTGGGTAGGACATGGGTAGATAAGATCCATGAGTATGGATTAGTTCAAGAGGTTAATTTTAAATTCGTGAGTATGGATTAGACCAAGAGGTTAGTTTTAGATCTGGGAGTGTGGATCAGGAAAAGAAATAAACTTGCTATTAGTCCGGGAGTATGGATTAAGACTAAGTTAATTTTCCCTAGTCTGGGAGTATGGATTGGGCACAGTTATAGATTCGGGAGTATGGATCAGATATAGATTAAGACTAAATTAATTGTCCCTAGTCCGGGAGTATGGAGTGAGTACAATTATTGATCTGGGACTATTGATCAGATCAAGAGGTTAGTTTTAGATCCGTGAGTATGGCTCAGGTAGTTTTAGGTCTGTGAGTATGTTTCAGGGGAAAAGGTTAGTCTTAGATCTATGAGCATAGATCAGGTGAAAAGGTAAGTTTTAGATTCGTGAGTATGGATCGGGTGAAGAGAATGTTTTAGATCCGTGAGTAGGGATCGGGTAAAGAGGGAAATTTTAGATACGCGAGTTTAGATCGTGTTGTTGTGAGGATCGATGGGGTGGGATAAGAGTTGCCTTTATATGGTGAAATTGTACAAGTTTGAATGTTCTATTTATATAAATATATGATATAACATTCTAGGATGAAAACGCTACATGCTCACCAGGCTCCCAAGCCTGACCCACTCAGTTTTCTTTGTATCACATGTATCAATACGAAGACATATTTCACTGAGATTAAAGGAGATGTAAATCAATAGTGTAAATAAATGTATGTTCTGTTTATGCTTATGTGTCTGTATCGGAAAATGACATCCCAAGATTTTGTTATATAATGAAAATACATTTCTTTAAGAAATGCTTTGATAAATTCTTATCATATTTTGTTTTGGGAACAAATTCCGCAACATTTTTCTTTAAACGATTACTTTGATTTTAAAAACAAAGCATAAACAAATCGGTCTTTTCTATCCGTGAAATTGGGGATGTCATAGTTGGTATCAAAGCAATGGTTTAAGCGAACTAGGAATTTTTAGGATTTCTAGACCTAAACTTAGAATGCTAAGCAATGATTGTGAGATGAGTGTCTACCATATTTTAGACACGAGCACTGGTATATTTTAGGAAAATTGCCTAAAATGGTTTTATGTGCTAAATGTTATATGTTTTCCATATATGATATTATTTGTTCGGATCTATGGTCTCTTGCCGACCGGGTTTGGAAACCTTTTGTGTTTAGGATTCTAAGCGTCTGACTACCGTATTAGAACTAACATGTAAACGTTTCGGAGTGATAAGGAGATTTATACGTTTATCATAAATGAAGCTTTCCTATCTTAAATTCTCTCCCGGTACACCGAACGTTTGCTTGGGTGTACAAAAGGTCATGGTGAAGACACATAGAGAATTGAGTAAATGGAGGAAATGAAAAGGCTTATTATAGTGAATGACACCTTTCGGAAGATATAGTAAAGAGTGGTATCTTGCCTTTAGAATATTTCTGATGAAATAATGGAACATTTAGAGGAGTAAGGTACGTTTGAAGTACACCTTCGATTGGTAGGATAATGGGACGGTTGGTATAATTCTCGAAGTTGTCCCATCATTTGGAATTTCCATCACCAACTAAGTTGGAGTAGAATTGATGAGTAAGGATGCGCATCGATGAAGTCTTAGTAGAGTTTAGGAAAAAAATTTATGATTAATTGTACACATTCGTATGTGTCAAATTGTTTTGTGATTTTAGGACTTGGCGACTGCAAGATAATACTTGGGATGAGTATCAGTAGCTGTTAATAGTAGTAGAGATCTATACTACTGGAAGCACAGGACTCACACTTGGATCAAGGAAAGTCACGAGGTTACCAAGAAGCTAGTGATTAGTCTCGTTTTATTCAAGTATGTTGTTACCATCGTTTCAATAATGACTGGTGAGATGATTGTTACTCTGAACCTAGTGGTCATATCAAATTGAGTCCGACTACGATGAGTTTGTTATGTGGTTCAGAGAACCAAGTTTGATGTAACATCTGACTCAAGACAGAAGATTCAGGTCAATGTAATCAATAGTATCGCGCTCGTTGTTAAAGAATTTAGTAGCTAGAAAAGCTACGTGCTAAAATGTGATTATATCACATTAGAATATGAATGAGGGTAATATTCCATTCTGAAATTTGACTCTAAGAGACCTGAGTCTAAGCGTTGCATCATACGATGAGAGGTTATTAGAACATGACTCATCGGTCTGTTACAATAGATAAAGGAATGTATTTATCCTAAGAAGAAGAAGGAGTCCTCAATAAGGATTTAGTTTTTAACTCGTAGGTTATGATTGAAAGTCCAACATAGTACAAAGAGCAGATGCAGAATTGAGCACTACCTGCTATCAAGAAGCGTTAGAGTTAAACTCTCTTTCGAGGAAACATAGAACTTACAGTTATTAATTAGGATGGAAAGTTAACGTATGTAATCATTGTTCAAGCCCTATTTTCGTTGATGATTTTGGGACGTAAGCATCCTAAGGGAGGGGGGGGTAATTTTGGCCATAAGAACATCCTATGTGCTCATACGAACCCTAATGCTTGGATCTAGGTTTCTCTGTTGTACATGCAATTCATCCAAGACTTTAAACCCTACATCTAGCATATGATAATCAATATTAACATAACAATGGGTTTAAGATATTACCTTGATTTTTATGTAGCAATAACAATCTCAAATCCTCCTTGTAATGACTTTAGAAAGCTTAGAGTCACAAATGTCACTCCTCTAATGGTTCACAAATACCAAGAGCAAGAGGATGAAGAATGAGAAGAGAAGAGACACCCAAAAACGTGTAGAAACCCTAAGGATTCAGTTGCCCACGTTTTTAGTGCCCAAGGGGTCCTTAAATAGTGAGGCTATTAGGGTTATCTAACAAGGAAACCCTAATTTGGATGCTTAGGCCCTAAGAAACCCATGGACTCCCTCCTTAGAGGCCTTGGACGATTTCAAATGGGTTTCCCCCATAGAATTCGTCCACTCCATCCTCTATGGAGTCTATTAGCCTAATATTCAACTATCACACAATTGACAGTTCTAGTCCCCTTCATTTAATTAATGTCTTTTAGCTAAAGAATTAATTCTTATTAATTCTTGACTAATATTAATTAAACAATATGATTTCTCCTTTAATATATTATTCTAATAGTATATTAATAAATCATAATTAATCCTTTTTCTCCATAGTTCATCCTATCAAGTTGCTTTGGTGAAGGCAACCCAGAAGGACCATGCACCATCGGGTCAAGTACATACCAAAATAGTTATTGCTTAGACACTAATCCAACAGTCTCC